GATGGGCCCTGGCTCGGACTGCTGCTGGTAGCTGCGAATGGAGGGGCCTTGCCTGAAATCTGCAACCAGTACCTCGAACTGATTTCCTGCGAACGGGAGCTCGAATTGCGAATGCTGAGGCGACGCGGGCCTAACTGGCTGAGAGGCCCCCGACTTGACTGCAGGCTGCGAGGCAGGGGTAGCTGGTCTCTCCTTCCTATCCTGAGACAATGTAGAGGTCTCTCCCCGGCGAGAAGGACGTTCGTTTCGACGGCAAGGCTTAGCTTGCTGCGTGGCCGGATGCCGAGGAGGAAGCGGCTGCTGGGCCTGAGGCAGTGGAGGAAACTGTTGTTGATACTGATACTGGGAAACTTGATGCAACACTTGCTGCTGATAGAGTTGAAACTACTGGAACTGTTGCATTTGAGCTTGCATAGCCCGCATGCACTGCACCAGGTCTTCAAGCTGGTTTTGGCTGGTCACCGGAGGAATGATGGGGGGTTCAGTGAAGGTTGTTCCAATCGTGGAAGGGAGTGGAGCATGCACAGGTGCCACTGACTGAGGCACATTCAGGCTGGGAACTCCGTCCGTAGAGAGGGGGACGGTGAACTGTCCAATGTAGACAGTGGGAAGTTGAGGTCACTCCTCAGTGGCGTTTTGGTCGGCACCTCGTCCGACATTGGTAGAGGAAGCCATGGATGCTGAGTTCTGAGAGTTTCAGAGATTGGAGAAAGGCTTCCTGAAGCGTTCCCACAAACGGCGCCAAATGATGCTGTGCGATACGGACATTCCTACCTGGCTCCTAACTGGCGACGGACAGTACCTGAGAAGAAGAGGGAGGTGAAGAATTCCCGGGGAGCTCACCCAGCGGGAACACTCTGATGGTTAAGTTAGAACTTTGAGAGAACTGTAAAAAATGCAAAGAGAGAGCTAAGAGTGCAGATGGCGCAAGTTCAATACCTTTAAACCTTGGGGATCGGGGTCCTTTTATATTGGAGTTCTATAAAATCAGGCGTAACCGCCTCTGCCGCAGTCGTTACTGCCAAAGCTGAGGTGGCGGGTGCAGGCAGCCGTTGCAAGGTACGGACCTGTCAAGCATGCCACATCTTTTAGAAACGGTAGGCACAACGCCGCCTGACGAGGGACGTGGGTGCAACCTCCAGATTAGGCAGGTACTGTTGTCTGGTAGATCTTCCCTACAGGTTGCCAAACTATTTTGCACCGAGCTACCTTACATCGAGGTGCTGGGGGTGCATTGAGGTGCTTACGTTTGAAGCGGGCCTTAGGCAAGTATGGACAGGAGTGTTAATGGTGCTGACCCGAAGTGTTTCCACTTCGGGATACCTAGCTGCAGGTCGGGGTGTTCCCTTCTCAGGAAGGAAGAGCTCGGGGCTCATTGGGAGGAGCTCGGGACTCCTTGCTTGGAGGGAGCTCGGGGCGCTCCATCCTTAGAGAGAATTCGGGGTAAGCTGGGTGTTACTTCCCGGTGAGTTGCCACATCCACCGAGTTGTCCGGCCGGGCTCCAACGAGTTTGTTACGTCGAGTTATAGCCAGGCTGCCACGTTGAGTTGTCACTTTTGCTAGGTCATGTCCCCATGCTACGAGGTCAGGCCAAATCACCCTCCATCCACTTCTTATGAAAACCTTCTTTAATTAATTTCATTTATACCCAAACATTGATCAAACAACTGCTGCTGGAGGTCTCAACGATAATGATTTTCCCTTTCTCAAAATGGTGGAAAAAGTAGCAGCAATCATTTTCACATTCTCGAACGGTGGAAGAATTAGTGGCAATCGTTTTCTTTTTCTCAGACGGGAGAAGAAGCAGTGGCAAAATGGCAATGGTTTTCCCTTTCTCAAACAGTGTAAAAAGCAGCCGCAATGGTGTTTTGGTGTTTTCTTCCGTTCAAACTATTAGGGTTTTGGGTTGAAAAATGACGGGGCTAATTTAAGGATATTGTAAAATAGGTGGATCATAAAAGAGGGTAAAATGGTAAATTAGCAACATCCATTAGTCAAGTTAATGTTATCTAACTGATATGGTGAGTTTTGAATGTTTTAAAAAATTATTATGGTAAATTTAAGAGAATTCGCAATGACTTTTAGACAATTTCCACCAAAAAAAAGCAAAGACTCCCCATCTTACACCTGAAATTTCCATTATAATATAAACTCTTGATTTGACAAAAGCGAGGGAAGGGAAAAAAATATTCCGCATATTAATAATGTTTTTTTTTTTATGTTGATTTACAACAAATCGAGAAGATTGAATATTTTTCCATGTCAAAAATGTAATGTAGGTTGGGTTGAATGTCGGGTCTGTGTTGAAAATTATGAATCCCACCGAGGTCTAAGGAAGCCCGATCCAATCTCCAAATAGTTTTTCTTTTCTTTTTTTTTTTTTTTTTTTTTTTTTGTTTTTTCTTTTTCTAACCTTTCTTTGGGTGACTAGAGATCAACCCCTCAATGAGTCAATCTAGGGGGAACGCATGCCAGGGGCCTCATTGCACACAAAATCATGGTTTTTAAAACCAAATTGCACCGCCAGACCACACTTTCCTCAGAAGCTCTGGAATTCTTTAAGGGCCTGGACAGCAAGAGCATTTACAACTTTGTTAGCGGCTCAGGAGACGAACCGGAAAATGGACTTAGGATATCCAAATGGTTGAACCTAAACAACATGCAGTTTGTAGGTTGGTATTAAAAATAATATAAATGAATTTAAAATTAAAAAAACGTGTCCCGAATGACCCAGTCAACAAATTAGTTATATATACGATTTTCTTTATTTCTCTTTGTTTTCTCATTCTCTGAATATCTTTCGACTGAAATAACATGAAATATGATTTGTGGTGAGACAAATATTGATAGTGACACTTTAGATCATCATAGGACAAGTGGCAAGTTATAGCACCCGACCTGCAATGCTGGTGGAACTCAGAGAGTCCCATGGTGATAGTCTAATCAATTTCATTTATATCAACATCAACATGTTTGCATTTTGCAACATTTAATAATATATGGCATGCCTGTAATTGTTAAGCTAAAGTGATGACAATGACATTACTACATACCATCCTTAACATTTGTATGAGTTATTCTCTGCTTCATCATTGACACATTAGTTCATACAGAAGAGACTCCTTCTAACAGTATCGCGGTAAATCTTTTATCTTTGATTCTGCCAACTTCTACTTCTTCTCCGAGGAAAAAAGAATGGAATTTATAATTAAAGATTGGTGGTCAATATATGGCATTATGCAATAACGTAAGATCATGCGAATGTAATTACATAAATTTGGCCAATGATCTCATTCATACAAAATTTCGGGTCCAAACTTCCTTAAGATGTCGTGACTTATTCGATTTCTCTTCTAAACGGACTACCTGTTTCACCATGACAAAAATGTAAATTTAATAGGAAATAACTAATTTACAAGATGGTCGTGTTACGGTGTTTAAGGTGCCTGTAACACTAGCAATTTGCCTTTTAGCACAAGTTTAAAGCATCGGACTTCTTTTTCCTAAAATGGGAAATACCCTCAAACCACTGTACCACATTTGTATTTGGAGCCTTCACCTTTTCACAGCCTCTTCCAGCTGAATCATATCAGCGTCAGCGTATAACTACATCAATACCATTTCCATCAATGGACATCTTCTTTACTAAGCTGCTGATCATGTTCATAGAACCAGATAAGGTCAAAACCGACCATCAATTAGAAACTACCAAGTGGCAACATGTTAGGGGGTAAAGTTGTCAATTGATGAGATGATTTGGTCTTGACGAGCTACGAACTAGTCTGATCCTAACAAGTTGATTTGACACCAATTCATAACATGCATAAGCAATACATGGCTGAGCTAATCAGAACATCAATGTTAATACAATCCATACAGGCCCACTACTTGTCACGTGCACTGCACACAACATATCAATTACAAATGGACTGAGCTCCGACCACATGTGAGAGATGAATCAGTTCTTGGATGAAGCTCCTCTCCTCACCTATAAATAGGGGCAAGTCCCCCATTCATTTGGACACATCTGAACATAATAGTACACATTATAAACAATGAATGCCAAACACCAGCTCCCCTAACAAACTCTTCAATTCATCACATGAAGCTCATCAGCTCTCCTTACGAGCTCTTCAGTTCATCCATACGAACTTACTACCTCTCCTCACAAGCCCTTTAGTTCTCTACACAAACTCTCATCTCATCTTACTAAGCTCTCCAACTCACCTTATTTTTTGTTGATCTAATTGACTCAACTATCAGAATCCATACCCTAAGATCACCCGAGGCCTCTGCATTTCTTATATTTGCAGGTTTTTCTTAATAGCCAAGGTACCAACAAAGCGAGCTCCGAGCCAAGGTGACATTCCAAAACCATATTGGATTGTCATTAGTCCAAATATAATTGACCCAATGTAGGAAACACCTTGTGCATATATAAGTTCAAGAATCATCAATGTTTGTTTTTCTTTATTCTAAAAATCACCGATCTCAGCCCAACCGACTAATCCGCCTAGCGGCCTTGCCCAGCAGCTTAAGTAAAAAGGAACATAGTAAAATGATGAATTGCTAATAAATGTACCAAACAACAGCTGGTTCTTTGATTCATAAAACAGCATAAATGCATACCTATTTGGTAGGGTTTAACTGAACATTCAACCAAACTGGTTCAGTTGCTTCGAGTCTAGATACCTATTTGGGCTCGCTCGCTCGCTCTCCGGATTTTTCAGCCAACGCTGGGATTTTGCAAATCGGCGTCGGATTTCAATTTTCATTAGTCGGATCGGGTTAGGATGTTCCTGAATCCGATTAGTTTACAGCCCCACTTATATTAATCAACTTTTAATTATCAAGAAAATCCAAAATTAATCAATCGGGCTTCGGAGCGAAGGAAATGCAACGTGGCACTCGAGGTCTCCGTTTATCTTCTGACGGCGCGGCTCACCTATACATGTCACATGTGTCATTGCATTCACTATTACGGTATATAAAAGATCCCAGTTGTCCGGTTCATACTCTTCAGATTCTCCTTCCTTCTTCCTTCACCTCTCCTTCTAAACCTGCTCTTATCTCTCCTCATCTCCGTCGACGCTTCTGCAATGGCGACTGTCTATGCTACTTCGGTCAAGTTCGCATCTTCGTTAAAGCACTCTGTTGGGGATTACAAGGTGATTTTTCGGTGATTCTTCTTCCTCCTTTACTTCTCCACGTTTCCTCAGTTGTATTTTAAGTTCTCCATCTTCATCTTGGGACCGTAGGTTCCTGATTTAAGGTTCCTAATCTGGTTCATTGGCGACTAACATGTGTCATTCAATGCTATTCAATTACTGTGGTTGGTTTATGTAATTTAGTTTCTCGACTTCAGATCTAGCTGGAGGATGAAGACTGGAATGTTTGTAACTGAATATTCTCTTGTTTTCCTTCTATAACAAATAACAATGTCCCCCTTCTTGGTGGTTTAGTCTCTTTTCTTTTTCTTTTTTCTGCTTTAGACAAATAGCATCTAGGGTTTAAACATTCAAATCACATTTCTAATACAGTTGTTAGAATATTTATTGAGTGCTTACTCTGTGCTCACAAGGGTGTGTCTGCTGGATCCGGATGCATAAACAGACACTAACGCACATTTCTCTGTAATTTTTCTAGGAATTTCGAATACATGTTATTAGGATATTGTTTTTATTTTTGGCCCTGTGAATGTTCATCTAACATTGATACTCTTCCCCATAACAATGCTGCAGAAAATATGGTTATGTATCTACCTGATAAACTTTGATTTCTGTCCCTTGTAATTTGTTTTGATGTAAACGACAGGGAAAACAAAGTTTTCATGCAGAAAAATGGCAAAAATGTAGTTCAAATATTTCAGTATGAAAAGAAATTCTGTCAATTTAACTTTTGAAACAAATGGAGCCCAAATGATAAAAGGGTGGGGGGCATAGAACATTTCGAATTATGTTGTATCTTGTATGAGGAAAAGAAGGTTTTCTGAAACGATTCATTCGGATTCTTATAATTAGGCCACCTCTCCTATATCTATCATCTCCATGGAGTGATGATGTGACTTCTAGGTCCTGCTCTATGTCAGCTCTACGTGCTACAACACATTGAGTTGTTTCTTAAGTGATAATAACTTACTCTTCAATTCTTACAAAAAATGGTCTGAAGAATTGGTATTTGTTTTATGGGTATATGATTAGATACTAAAGCTGTGAAAGATGACTGTATGGATGAATGTAAATGCATATGTATGGTATATTATCAAATTAGGGAAAACTGACTATGTATAAAATTATATATCTTGCATAAAACCAAGATACAAATCCAAAATTTTGTAATTAACAATCTAACTTGAGAGTAGATAAGCATTATACTGTATGAGGAAAAACAAAACAAAAAGATAGGAAGGAAAGGATATAAGCTATGCCAAGATTATGTTCAATATAAATGCCCATTATGAAAATTTTTGCAGCTAACTGGAAGGACCTCAACTTTGAGGCTAGTTTCTATGAATTGGACCAAGAATGGCTTCCCTTCTTTGCGGTCTTCACGCTTCCGTGTGTGTTGTGCGGTATTTCCTCCCTCCCTCTCCAACATCTTTCTCATCTTATTCTTTTGTTTTTCTATTTAATGTTTTAAGAAAGAAATGCTGAAAAATTGTTGCGTATGAATGTGATTTAATGGGGTGCATTTACAGGCCAAGCCAGAGACTGTCCAGAAAGTTTGTGATATTGTAAGGAAACAATTGGCATTGTCTCCTGAATCAGCGCTTACCCCAGAGTCTAAGTTCTCTGATCTTGGTGCTGATTCTCTTGACACAGTACGTCCTTTTTATTTCTCATGTTTTTGTTATTTTAATTGGTCTATGTTGGTGTTTAATTTTAATTGGTAAACAGTTCTTCAACATTATACAACTCCCTCTGTTTGGTAATATGGACTACCATGTGCAGGTGGAGATAGTCATGGGACTGGAGGAAGAGTTTGGAATTAATGTCGAAGAAGATAGTTCTCAGAATATAACCACGGTCCAGGAAGCAGCTGACTTGATAGAAAAATTGGTTCAGAAAAAATCTGAAGCGTAGAGAGAGAGAAGAGAGAGATGAAGTTTTGTATTAGGAGGGGGGCAGGAATCATGTGGAAAATTTTCTGTCATGGTATGTTGTTTTGGTTGTTTATATTTGTTGACTCAGCTAGGTCCCTGTTTCAAGATGAATGACTCAGAATTCTTTTTTTTCTTATGAAAGGTAAATTTGCTTTCATTAATATCCAAACTGATCGCTTGAGAGACTTGGCTGGCCATTTTCCTGTCAGATGACGGATCACCTGCCAATAAAATACATTCCAGGCCATGTTTGGGAGTGCTTAAGTTAAAAATAAGTACTTATTTAATAAGGCTATGTTTGGTTTGAAGGAAAAAGTAGGGAAAGGAAGGGAAAGGTAAGAAAACCTTTACAAATCTTATATGAGTTTTGATACCTTTCCTTCCCTTTCCCTTCAAACCAAACATAGCTTGAGTGTTTAAAAACAAGCGTTTATTCAAATAAACACTTATTTGTGTTTGGCACTCAACTTTTTCAAGTGCTTATTTATTTTTTAAAATAAGTAGTTTTTTTTTATATTGGGTGTTTGGTAGTTTTTTTTTCTAATAAGCACTTAAATAAGCATTTGTGACTATTTTGTTCTTCATTTTTTTCAATTTTTCAAAATATATCTTTTGAAAGTGCTTTCATAAGGGTATTTTCTTAAAAGTGTTTTTGTAAAAGTAGTTTTATAAAAGTATTTTCTTAAAAGTGTTTTGTAAAAGTATTTTTATAAAAATGTTTTCGTAAAAATGTTTTTGTAAAAGTGTTTTCATAAAAATCTTTTATAAAGTTCAACTAGGGATAATGGTATTTTAAAATTCAACTAGGGATAATTTTGAAAGGAAAATACCAATAAGTGTTTAATGGCCTACATAAACACTTATTTTTAAGCACTCCTAAACATGGCTCAAGTCAATTGTCGGTTGAACTTTTTTTATATCATTTTGAAGGGCTACAGAACGGGGGTAGCTGGCCCCCAACCCATAACCCCCCCAATGCAGGTGCAGCAGGAGATCTTACCAACCAGCTGATTGGCACCTTGCATTGTCTTGGTTGACATCATGTAGAAGTTATTTGAAGCACACGATCACCAAGTGGTTCATACCATAACCATAAGTAGGCCTTGCTCAAGAAATTGTGGTTATAAGTATGAGAACAATGACAACAAGAGAATTTTTTTGTGTATCCATAATTCATATTCCATGGGTTCCAATAATCAATGAGAACAAAAGAATTTTTTTTTTTTGGTAATAGACAAAAGCATTAGAATGCCCCTTAAATTGCCTTCAACTCCCCTTTATTCTCTCCACTTTTTCATACAAATAAAGCCTTTTATTTAACAATTAACACGAGGGTCAATTCAACTTTTGCTTTGTGCTCTAAGGGGTTATACAAGAGGGGTAGTCCATCCCCTAAACACATAAATCCCTCGAAATCAAATAGGTTCGTCAATAATACACAAAATTTCGAGGATGGACATCTGATCCGATTATCTTGGATTCGGATGAGGTATTTATATAATCGAATAGGATTCGGGCAATCTATTTCTGATTAATAATTAGATCAGATTTAAAATTGATCTATCTAATCAAATTAAAATTGATCCATCTAATTTTTATTAATTTTAATATAATTATATTTAAAATTATAAAAAATATATTGTATATATTATATTATATATGAATTTATAACTAATAAGTTCAATATGTTATATTTACATTAATTTATTACATATAAAAGTTGAAAAATAATTAATTTTTTTAGTATTTTCAAAAACTAAAGTGGAATTAGTTTGTCACCTTGCGATCAATCCAACTAATAAATACAATTATTTATATTTATATATTGTTTCCAATTTAGGTTAATATTTATCCAATTTAAAAACAAATGAGTTCAATCCAATCATCCGTACAAGTGACCTTTCTAATTATTTTTCAAGTAATAGATTATTTAGTTAATTAATCATAACATAAAAAAATAAATAAATTTTAACTCATTTAGTTCTGTGACTTGCTTAAAGTTATTACTTATTTCCTTAATCAGTAAACTTCATTACCTTTATTAAATTATAACTAAGGTTAATTAATTAGTTATAGTTATCTTTATGTATGCCTAACCAAGTAAACCAGTTACTTTTAATAATTAAAGTAGAAAATTATTAATTAAGTTTCTTGATTACATTAATTAAATTAATAAATTTAGTTAGCTTAGAAAATGATTATATAATAAAAAAAGATTAGTTAAAAAAATAAGATATTTATATAATCAATTAACTAATTATGACTTAATTACCAAAAGTTTATTTAATTATATAACTAACTAACCAATAACATAATAAATTAGTTAACTAATTAAGTTAATAATTTAATAAAAATTATAGATAAAAGATAATATGAATTAATGAAAATTATTTGAATAATTTTTTTACTAATGCAAGATTTTATTTAAAAACAAAGTTAATACAAATTAATACTTGTTTATTAAAAACAACAAAAAGGTAAGAAAATTTTAGTTTCAAAATTTTATCTTATAATATCATGTCTATTAAATTTTCATTTACATATAAAATAATGCTAAAAAATTGTTGATAATATATTAATTTTAAATTTAATGATTATTATTTTAAAATCCCTTAATCCATTGAAAAATAATAAAAATGAATATTAAATAAAAAATATTAAAAGTTAAAATAATTTAATAAAAATATCAACAAAACACCAGATTTGTTGTTTGGCACACTGTTAACGTTTTCACCTGTAATCTGTTTGGTTCCAAGTGGATTTTTGATAGATTATGTAACACATACTGCACCAGCATAGGTCGATACTTATCTTATGAATAACACCCGTCTAGCTTCCTATCTAACGGCCATTATTTGATTATTTAGAGATCCAACGGTTAAAAAATGTATCAAGACATATATTCAGTGGTTAGGATTGTTGAAAATGGAAATTCAAAAAATGTTACAAGGCAAAATGAACTCTTTATTCATATATTTAGACTAACAATTATATTTTCTTTCAAATAATGTAAGCATGTACGTCCCAATGTGCCTTTCTTTATCTCACAAGCTACATCCCAGCATGAAATGTTTTCTAGTGCACTGAGATGCACTGGATAAGACCTCCTCGCTCGTGCCAAATCAGCATCCACATGGGATCCATGTCACGTGGTTATTTCAAGAAAAACGTTGTTGTTGCTCGGTTGTGAGTTGTGATATTTTCAAGGCGTTGCTGTTTCATCTCATTTGTTCTCTTAAAACATCCAAGTTCCAACCAACTGCATTTTTTAACCATTAAGCTTGACACGCCTACGTGGCATTTAGGTGTACTAGAAAGTAGAAACGGTAACGCAACGCCACACTACCAAACATCGCCTAAATCAAGAACCTAAGACAGAACTACGCAACGGCTCCTTAATACCCAGAAGAGTAATCTCTCAAAATTATGCAACGGCTCCTTAATATGCGCAAATTTGAATCTAAAGCTTTGAAATCCGTGCTAATAACAATCAAATGGAGTAGTCGTATTTTGGTAAGCAGAGAAAATCATGCATTAGTTGAAGGCAAATGAGCGTTATTGTTTTGAACCTTCTTTAATGCTCCTTGTTGTCAATCCAGTATAAGAGAGTGATGACGATTCAGAAGCCCAGAGCTTGAGTGTCCTCCAAACATTTAAAAATTCCACAGGCCAATTTCTGAAAAACAGCTACTTGTTAGAACAGGACGGAGAATACCCAAAAGGGGTATCTCACTGTACGTGCGATGGAGAACAACAAGGTTTCCTATTCGTCTAGGTGGGATGGCCATGACAGTGCCTGCCAATGCCCCTGGCTTCAGGCTACGCTCTCTGGTCCTCTCTCTCTCTCTCTCTCTCTCTCTCTCTCATATCGAAATAATAACGATTTTGGGTTTTCGATTAATGAATGGTCCAAGGTGAAAATTCGGAGCTTAACTTGTTATAACCTCTTAAAATTTGCAGATTTGAACGAGAAAACAAAGGCCATGTTAGTCCTCATACAAGAAGATGGCGATTCATTCGTTCAGAGAGACGAGATGTACTACAAGAGGCGGCCTGAGCTCATCAAAATGGTCGAGGAGTTCCACAGGTCCTACCGTTCTTTAGCTGAACGCTACGACCAGTTGAGGTCTAAGCCTGGCTCATCTCTATTGGTTCAGTCTCGATTTTCCTCTCCATCCAACTCTTTCAAACATATGCGCACCAAAGAATCAACACGAAGCAGCTCTACTGATGCTAAATTAGAGACATCTGAGTCCCGTCCTGAATCAGTTGTTGAAGACCCAGATTTTGAAATTCGAGATCATAATCAAAAGGAGGGAAGATGCGAAGCGTTGCTGCTAGATGCCAAGGAGGTCGATGAGAAAGTGAGTGGTTTTGGAGTGGATCTTAATTTGGTTGGAGATTTCCCAGTGGATAGCTTTGAGAGGGAGAGTACGTCGTCTGAACTTAGGTTCCAAGTTTGGAAGCTAATGGAGGATAATCTACGGCAACAAGAGGAATTGATACGTAGAAATGATGAAAAGAGAGAAGCTATTAAAGATCTCTGTTTCCTGGTTGACAGACTAATGAATGAGAACAAGGCTCTCCAGAATTGCTTGAGATGTTCAGAGGTTGGTAGGAAGCAAAATAAATCTCATATATCGAAATTGAAGAGATTGATCTTTGGGAAGTTGTTCAGAGGAGATGCCCCATGATTTGGTCTTCTATCTATATCACCTCTTCCTTTTCTTTCTCCATGTTTTTGTTTGATTTGAAGTCACATATTGAGTAAATCATGTCGATGCTTTTATTAATTTCAAAATTGGGATTTTAAATATTTCATACCTCAGCCGGTCTTGAACTTGAATCCTGCTCAGATAGCTTTAATCAAGTAAGTCATCCTCAAATCAAAAAGAGAACCCTTCGACTTCGATGGTGGACAAATTGCAAATTGAAAAAGTAGCATTGGGATGACCACATATATGATCAATAATATGTTAATTACTTCTGGACTAAATCTCCAGCCCAGTGTAATCTCAAAAAATAAACGGCACCAAAACTATCAGCGCCTTCTTGAATCATTTTGCTTACAACCTCTGTTTCTTCCTCTTGAAACAAGCCAATATTAGAAAGTTGTTTGCTTGACATTGCATAGTAATTATTTCATGGCTAATAATTAATATAGCATCCACCTCTGTAAGTTGGAGTCCTTATTGATAATGTCGAAACAAAACTCACCACAAAGTACGACTCGCTATCATATCAGACTTGATGAAATATAGTGGACCAAGTCCTTGTTTGCACAAGCAATGCATATTGCAACACATTTCGATTCAATAAAGCAATAGATCTGCTTTAGCAAGTAAAAGTGCTACTACTGAAAATACAGCAATTTAGATTGATCTACAATTATTATTTAATTCGACAACTCCTTAAACACCCGTTTATAGTACTAGTGAGAAGAAGCAAGAGATCGACATACCAAATACAGCAAGCTCACTTGCAAAATTAGGCGAACTAGATAAGCTCTTTACCCCTACAAACTCACCCGAACTGGGTGCCGGTGCAGGTGCCTGAGCAACATCTGGGGGCGATTGGGTGCTTGGTGAAGGAAAAAATGTTGATATATTTGGGGCTAGACCAGGTAAAACAGCAGGAGAAGCGGAGATGGTGCTTAGAGCAGGCACATTCTCTGAAAATAATGCACCAAGGTTCATGAAGGAGATCGCCATGGAAAACAGTAAGATAGCAGAAAACTTGATCCCAGTAGCCATGGGGACTTGGGGAACGACCCAATCGATTAGGATTAGGTGATCAACATAAAATTTAATTTATAGCTACACGACTAGGTGGACTGTTGGTTAAGGTAGATTTTTATTTGTTTGTAGCAAAATCACGAGATTGACAGTCCTCCTATCATGTGGTTTATTTGTTTAATCGTTCCTTCTCGTGCTCTTTGCTTTGTCGTTTACAGGTGAATAAAGGTTCGGTTTTTTTATTTTTCAAATTTTGAATTGCAGCTAAATGAGCAGTGATGGATGACGGCTGAAGCTGAAGAGTTCAAATCAACCCCCCACAAGATAGTATCCCACAACATCCCACAGCACATCCCCGCCGTGCATTAGAAACATCTCCCGGTGATAATAATCAGAAATTAATGACGAAAAATCATTGGGAAATGTTTATAATACATGGCGGAGATATTTTGTGGGACATTGTGGAAAACTTATCTTGTGGGGAGCTGATTTCATCTCGAAACTGAAAGCTGATGGGGTTATACTTAGGCCCTTCTACGGCTGAACTGTTAGAAGTTAGAACAGGAAATTAGTTTACTGTATCTGGGATGCTGAAACTTTTGTTCTTTGAACTTTGAAATACGGATTCCGCCTTCCATAATCGTTAGAAGTTGAACGTTGAAACCCACGAGAAAATTGAAATTGGTTGATAGCCAAGTCTCGAGCCATCAAATGATCAAGTGAACGGCTTTGGTGCGTGTGCAGGTACCAATGCAAAGTTATAACTGTAGAGGATTCCGACTCAGTTCCAGTTATAACTAGGGTAACTAGTGGTGCCACGGTTCGGTTAAATATCCAAACCGAACCGACCTGATCAGTTTTTTAAATATCCAAACCGAAACCAAATCAATGCAAAGTTAATCGCGGTTTGGTCTTTTGATTTTTTTATGCAGTTAGAAAAAAACTAAAAGTCGGTGGTTGCTGTCGGTGTCGGACTAGTTGGTGCCGGTGGTTGCTGTCAACTATCGCTTGAAATGAGAGGTTGAGAGGTGGTGCCTGGCGGAGATGTAGAGAGGAGAGGTAAGAGAGAGAGAAGAGAGATGCAGAGATCAGAGATGACATTGGACCGTTGGTGCTTACTTGCCGGCAAGGCGGCAACTGGCGTTGCCGCTTGGTGCAGTCATGTTGGTGGTCGGTGCAGGCCGCACGACTGTCTGGAGTGGGGAATACGAAGAGTTGAAGAAGAAGAAGAGTAAGAGAAATGAGACTGAGAGAGTGAGAGAGTGAGAGAGTGAGAGAGATAAAAGAGAAAACTGAGAGATTGAGAGGGAGAAAAGAGAAAAGACAGAGAGTCTAACGCTCTGCAGTTTGGGGAAAAAACAAAAGAGAAAACCAATAAAGACTGGTGCAGACTGACGAACTTTCAATTGAAAGGTTCAAATTTCAAAGAGAAAGGCTGAAAGTCTCTCAAACTGTCGAACTCTTTTATTCGATTTTCAAAAAAAATAAAAAATATAATATAATATATATAATATTATATAAATATATGTTACTGTATATATATATATATATCGGTCGGATTGGTTAACGGCCAGTTTTTTTAAATGGTTAATCGAAATCGAACCGAAACTATCATTTTTTTAAGAATATCGATTTGAAACCGAATCGATCGGTTCAGTTAACCGATTTTTTGGTTCGGTTTTAGTTGGTTTTTTTGATCAGTTCATTTTTTGGTTTTTTTTTGCTCACCCCTAGTTATAACCTTCTCTACCTCTGCCTCGTAGGGGTGTCCATGAAAAACCGAAAAAAACCTAAAGCCGAACCAAGAAAACCAAACCAGAAAAAGTAGTTAATCGAACTGATCAGCTCAGTTTTGGTTTGGTATTTTTGAAAAATCGAAGGACCAGTTCGGTTTTCAATTAACCTACAAAAAAACGGTGGTTAATCGAACCGACCAGTATATATATTTATACGTATATTATATATATATATACACATATTTTCCCTATATTATATATAGATAAATATTCATTATATATAAATATATACATATATTATATTTATAATAATCTATTTATAAATATATTATATATTATATATTTTTATAATATATTATATATCATTTATTATTTATAATATAATATTATACATATTTATATAATATATTATAAATATAAAAAACTAAAAATCGAAGAACCAAACTGATCAAAAACCAAAAACGGCAGAGCGATTAACTGATGGTACTGGTTCGATATCGATTTGGAGAAATGGAAAAATCAGTGGTACCAATTCAGTTTGCAAAAATTGCCCTTGGTTTGGTTAACCGAACCATGGACACCCCTACTACTTGGGGTAGACCCTAGATACAAATTTCGCTGTTGTCAGGAATTTCATGCTCAAATGGCTTGTGTTTGGTTTGAAGAAAAAAGTAGGGAAAGGAAATGAAAGGTAGGGAAACCTTTACAATTTACAAATCTTGTGTGGTTTCCCTACCTTTTCTTTCAAAGGTCAGTTGCTTTTTTATTTTTATTTCTGATGAGGGGCATTTTGGTCCAGCATAGTAAAGCAGCTCGCCAAAGTGATACCAGGTGTGCGGCCGAGCTGGGGCGAGCTCAGCCAGCCGACAACAACAGCTACCCCACACAATTACAGACACATGGATGTTTTCAGCGACACAGTGTCCAACTCAGCATGACAGCTCGACAAATCAGCACGTGGCGATCGACATCAAGTGCGCGACCGAGCTGGTGAGAGCTCGGCTCGCTGACAACAATAGCTCACCCCGGAAACGTCTCGCGCGCCTTGCCCGCTCAAACACCGTTACCACGACTACAGGAACAACTCGTCGAACCGTACGCCGTAGGACTCACGGGCGACCTGTAACTGCCACGCAAATCTAGCAACTAACACCTTAATACGCCTAAAAATAAGGAAACAACTCCAAAAATAGCTCAAGACAATTACTTGAGTCCAAGAGCGTATATAAGACGTCTAGATCCACCCAGAAAGGTATGCACACTGATACTTTCAAGCTCCCTTACATTCTTAGAGATTACTCCTACACATTCGCTAACTTAAGCATCGGAGTGCCCTCCCTGGGTAAAAGCTACCCGGGCACTCTCACCTTCTTCTCTTTTTACAGCTCACTTCAGCTCGGATTCCCAGCTCGCAGCTCGTTCACGTAGCTCAGCCCAGCCAGATTGCTGCCAGTCGGAGTCCAAGTCATAGCACACGAGGGAGCATCCAGATTATGCATCATCTATTGGTGGGCCTATTTTGTGCTTCATCAATTTCTTTAACAAATCTTTTGGGAAAAACATGATTTGTCTTTTTTCCTCTCATCTTTCTCGTCTTCCCCACTTATCTCTAACTCCCTCTCCTTCACCCCCTCCCCAGGCCCCAACCCAACCCTGAGTTGCGCCTGATGAGAAACGAAACCTCTAGAGAACTCAGGAGCAAAGTTCAAAATATCGATAAGTCGGGCAGTATCGGTAGTTTTTTTAGTTTTTTTTTTCAAATCTGATTTAGAGGGACCGGTTTAAGGTCTGCTCACCCCGTAAATTAGTCAAAACCCCGATACACCTTCTGCAAGGCCGTATCGGAAAGCTCTCAATACGATAAGTAGCAGCCTGTATCGATATTTTGAACCTTGCTAAGGAGCGCGCCAAACATTGTTGACAAATAGGGATGTCAATGGGCCGGGTTTGGCACGGGTTTGCCTCAACCCGAACCCGATCCCGATCCGCCTTAAAATACATAATTTTCAAACTAAAAACGATTCTACAGCATCGGTACCAAACAAAACTAGTGTTGTTTTCCCAAAAAACAACAGCCTATGTGGCAGCACCATTTCCAAACAAAAAATAAGTACTGCTTTTTGGAAAGCGATGCTTACAACTCACACATGCCCAAAACGCTGCGGTGTTCCCAGCACCGATGCCAAACACCTACTAAGATTATATTTTTCTTTTCAGATTTATGTAGAGTCCATGAAAAAATTATTTTCCTCAATTAACTTTTTCACCTGGGAGGAAAGTTGCCAACACTTTAATGAGACAAAATTGTCCTTTTTAATAATGGCTCTGTATGGTTAAAATGGTCATTGTCTTATTTACCAAGGAAATAAAAGAACATGAGTAAAATGCAATTTTCGAGATAAGTATTTCCTAAGAAACACTTAAGCAGTATTTGGAACCGTGGGCATTTATTTAATAAATGCTGCTACATAGGCACCACTTCAGGATTTAGCCATCATGCTGATCCATACGCATAAAGAATTGCAAAAGTAGGCCTTGATTTATGTGCAATTTTCGAGATAAGTATTCCCTGAATGGATAAGCATTTATTCACTGTTTTGCTAATATGGTGCCTAATGACGCCTAATTATCAATAAACAGTTTTATTGTTATTTTTCTCAATTTTACAAACAAATCAAATACAAAGATTTAGTGAATAAACGAAAGCTATCAGATAAATTTTTCTCAATTTTATAAAAGAAGCACCCATCCTATATGATGTAACCGTTTTTTGGTCACGTACCATTTTTTGGGATGTGTAAATTTTTTTTTGGCTAAGTACCTCGTGTATGACCTGGTGGTGACGTGCCTTGGTGATGACCTACTTGGTGGCGAACTTCCTGGGGGAGAACTGCCTGGTGGCGAACTGCCGGGTGATGCTCCTGGTGGCGAACTGCCTAGGGGCGAACTGCCTGGTGGCGAACTGTTTGGTAGTGCTCCCTGGTGGCGAACTGCCTGGTGGCGAACTGCCTGATGGCGAACTGCCTGGTGGCGCTGCCTGATGGCGAACTGCCTGGTGACAAACTGCCTGATGGCGAACTGCCTGGTGGCGAACTACCCGGCAGTGCTCCCTGGTGGCGAACTGCCTGATGGCGAACTGCCTGGTGGCGAACTGCCTGGTGGCGCTGCCTGATGGCGAACTGCCTGGTGACGAACTGCCTGATGGCGAACTGCCTGGTGGCGAACTGCCTGATGGCGAACTGCCTGGTGGCGAACTGCCTGGGGGAAAACTTCCTGGTGGCGAACTGCCTGGTGGCGAACTGCCTGAT